TCTGTGTTGCAGTAGCTTTTGTGCTATTGTTAGCGATCTTCGAGGCGGTTACCGATGTGGCCATCCGCTAACGTTTGCCTTTTTGCGCAGCGACAATAGACATGTGTGTTGTCAGGCTTTCATCGGCGGCGGATTAGCGTGCATGCAATGGTTCAGTGTGCGACACAGTTTCACTTCTGGGAACAACTGTTGTAGCCACGGTTGGGGTAACGGCGATAGGCTGGACGCGATCATACACCAGGTTGTTGAAGTACCTGCTTGACCAAGTCTCTCGGTCATCTGGGTATCCACTTACAAACGTAGACATGACGGAGCAAAATATGAATCACTGAAGTTGCATAGACTAGGTGTATTGACACGGATCGGTAAACTGCATGGTACCCAAATGGACGCTTCTGCTACAAGCAAGAAGCTCCGTATACATTTGCACCATGACCTATAACTAATTTGTCTATAAAAGACGTATCGGAAACCCCAATAATCTCTCCGATGTGGATTCTAGAACATTTGCACCAACGGCGCCAATATGCACGATGAGCACTCTTAAACAATGGGTTAATGATACCGCATTATGGGGTAACTAATGCTGAGTCCTTTGCACATCAAGCGCACATCAAGCAACAAAAGGGACACCGGTTTAAGCTTGTACCAGCGGATTTGAAGCGAGACCTCCAACTATGCTTCGAATCGATAGTACTGAATGTGTGGCACAACTTGCCGCGGCACGTAGATTAGGTGTGGGAATACAGGAATTCCCTGGACATAATTTTACCGACATGAAGAATTGAGAATATTCACCAACATGCAGCTGCACAGAGATCTCTTTTTCTCTACTTTCCTATAATATTCAGTAATATCATGGCAGGGAAATCTTTTTCTTCCAAAGGAATTTGATATTTTACGATTAGGTCTCCATCAAACTTACAGCGGTCACTATTCAAAAATGGCTTAACGTTGGTTTTCTCTTACTTATCATTATTCCTTATTACCAGTCTGGCGACGCGAGTCGTTTCAACTGCATCCACTGCACTTTGGTGCCCGGATCATGGTTTATCAACTGCGCTGAACTGAACTGAAACAATCGGGTAATCTTTAAGTATCATAGGTTATTTGGGAAAAAGGAATTCTAGGTAGAACTTGGTTCACTTAACAGGAAAGCAAAATGCGAAGAGCTAGAAACTACCCCTCTACCAAGTCGTTATTATTCCTAAGGTGAAAGGCCTAGTTTAAAGTGCTGCCTTTTTTCCTACAGTGGTTTTTTGGAAGCATGTTTTCAGTCTACCGGCGTGCCCACCATAACTGTGTTTTAACATTACCTTTGATACAAATACGGGCACTTCGAAAACTTATTGCTCTGGTGTGCGACAGTTGTGCATCACGTGTACGTTCGTCAGCCAATGCGATATCCAGTTTTTACCACAGTAGACCTTGTAGGTAACGGTTACTTCAGTGCTACGGCTAAACACCGGCCAGTACAGAGCCCACAGGCATCCAGCTTTCCACGAAACGTTTGACTGTAAACACAGGCCAGGATGTAGCAGTCGTTCGCATATGGATAGTCTGCGCCTCGTTGCGGAGAAACATGCAGTATCGAGGAATTTGTGATAGACAGAACCGCGATTGTGTGCGTCGGTACATCGTGTGAGATCCGACTGGATATGCGGACTAACGTTAGAATTCCTTTGGGTTTTCTCAATGCGCGCAATGTGCGGCAATTTACGGTGGGTCCATCACAATCGGTAGACATTTCCCGGACGCAGTGTAATAATTTGAGTACAACTGGAGTTAGGCTAACACCCCCGTGGTTAGCACAGTTGGTGTGATTGCCACCATAATCGATTCACTACAAGTAGTGCACACGCTCTCTTATCCCAGGAATGCTCGAAAATTAGGTTAGTGCAATGCAGAGGAACTCACCCCCATTATTATATAGTGGATGTGGGAGGGAATCCGGACCAGTAGCACGAAAACGATTGAGGGATACAATCGCGTTTCGGACCTCGGTCCCCGACGGTGTCTAGAAACTAACCATCCATGGCTCAGCCGGCATGAACTAATTAGGTAAAGGTCCAGAATCACGGGGACAAATGAACTGCTCTCGAAATTGCTGCGCCCAAAAAGTCATATGGCGCTCCTCATTGTGAATTAGAGTACCTATGCTGTCTCTGATTGTTTCACTGATGCCTAGTTTCCTGGGACCAGTTGTGCGGATCAGCTGGAAGAGCTTGCGATAAGTTCCTAGTTCTCCTGCTTCCTCTATTTCCCGAGCCCGATTGATCCACTAGGCTTCCTTGTCAGCAAGCAGCCTAGAAATTTAGTTCGCATCTGATAGTCCATCTGGTCACATTGTTTGCTCAGAGCCAGCAAGTAGGTTCCTCCTGAATTCCAACAGGTTCAGCATCCTCTCGGATATCCAGTGACTAGCGCGGTGACGATCGACTGTAAGACAGAGTCTCCAGTATCGTGCATGGCGGCCGAGATTCTATTCCACTGAAGCTGTGTCATTAGGATAAGACAGTGAAAGTTCGGTACGCAGTGCATTTAAGGAGTCTTGTGTGACCGAGGATTGAGCTAATTACTCAGTTGCCAATCATGAAAGACGCTTGGTGCGCCTCCCGGCAGTTCATAGAAAAACGACAGCATAACAAGGCATGAACAGAGTAGAAGCAAATACTCCAGAACGAGCTGCAATCCGGGATGGTACCACTCCATGTGTAATTTATGGCAATGTGAGCAATTTGGGTCCATCGTTGGCCAGCTACAGGAGGACGCCAAGTGGGTCTGAAAGCGGTGCTACCAAGAAACAACTGGCGCTCTAGACACAACTGTACCAGACGCACGCCGATGTCAGTCCGTTCGGAGTTTAGCTCATAATTATCACATAGATGAGCTTCTGAAGAATTCAGACACTCTACCTGTGCATTCATACCCCTGCAAGTACTATGATATCTGAACAGGTAGTACTGCGTAGTAGCATGTCCAGTTCGTGTCTTTGGCAGCATAAACTGTAGTCCATGGGAGCATAAGCGGAGACCACAAGCAAACAGCCTATTGTACTAGTTATTGAATCAACCTTACTTGATGTCCTAAAATGGATAGCACACAAACAGCTGTCTACCGGAATGCAATCAAACAACGATGACGGCTTCGGAGATGAGAACAATGTCCACACCACGTTGGTCAGTAAGTGCTGCATTCGCGTCTCCGGATGTGCAGCCAATAACGAGAGGACAAATCAGGCGAAAGTAATCCAACAACCCCAGTAAGGTCATTTATACTAGGTTCGGACACAACCTACATCAATACCCAGCATGTCTAAAGTGCGTGCGAACGTTGAACGCCACCAACGAAATGGGGCAGCGTGGGACTGTTGCCGATAGGCGTCTAGTAGGTGTTGCGGGAAGATGACTGCAGATGTTGTGACTCCAGTGGCACTGCAACTACTGTCGATTAAGCTGGGAAATATATAATGAAGATTAACAATAGGGGTTGGGAAGGGAGTAGGAGAAACAGTTGAAAAAGAAAGAAGCGACAGCAGTAGCATGTTTTCGCCTATCCGCCCTGCAGTATGCAACAGATAAAGTGATGCTTGATGACCTGCGCGACGGCCGATGCAAGATGCAGTTAAAGTTTGACGAAACTGTCGTGGTTGTACGCAGCCTGAGATACTGTTAGAACGCTCAGACCTAGACAGGAGGACGAATAGAGTATTCCACCAAGGCCTTTGGCTCAAAAGCCTGCAGGCAAGACAGCGGATCGGTGGAAGTGATTCAGTTTTACTGAGATAGATGCCATCTCATTTCAAACCCCCAACCTGGAGGACCAGAAGATTGTTTGTCTGACTTCTAGCCATTAACCAACTTGGTAGTAAGAGCTCTCAAGGTGCCCGGGAGCCCCACTTAGTATAGCTTAATGGGTCGAAGAGTTACGCAAATCGTGGTACCCCGTTAAGGTCTGGTTCCGTTGCGACGGTCGTACTGAAAAGCAAAATCAAGTAAGCTGTTGCCCTTTTACTTCACGCCAGGTTTCTGTTCTGGCTGAGCTCACCTTAGGATACCTACGTTACCATTTGACAGATGTACCGTCTTAGTCAAACTCCCCACCTGACAATGGCTTCAAAAATGGGTCGCAAATCAACATCAAATTCAAACATAAGACCATAGTCACAGCTCATTTGACATGACCAAAACACCAACCCCGCTACGTAAGTCACGGACGTCAGCATGTGTTTAGCACGAAAATTCATTCCTTGTTTTAGTGAATATACAAAGAAACAATGACGGTGACGGTAGTTCATTGACACTCAGCCTCGAAGGACCGCGTTCCCATGTATTCTACAACCGTCATGTATCCGCACAAAGTCGAGTTAGAGTCAAGCTCAAAAGGACTTCCATCCTCGCCATCCCATTACAAGACTCCAAACTGGAGGACCAGGAGACTGTATGTCTGACCTTTAAGCATTGACGAAACTGGTATGAGTAGCTCTCAAGGGGCTCGGGGGAACCACCCAGTATAGCTTAATGTGTTAACGAGGTACGCAAACTGTCGCACCGTGTTAAGATCAAGTATCGTCAAAATAGATGCCTAGAACATGGACAAGCCCTCTGGCACAACAGAAATAGCTCATGGAGTGGGAGATTAGCTTTGCAAAAGACGCGTTGTCTGATATCACCACTGCGCAGCCAGTGTTGCCAGCATACACAGGCGATCTTCCGCAGAGCCGTTGGAGAACGCAAATAGCATACGCATGTCGTCGATTCGGATCGGCCAGTTTGCAGCCAGTTTTCTGCGGCGATTTCTCTACCCCCTATGAAATTTTTGACTCGCAAAAAACCAGCTTTGCAATACAGTGAAGAAGAGGCAAACATGGGACCTATTGTTTGTCCACCACAAGAAACTCAATACAAAACGCGCATCTAGAAAACCAGTATAACGCAATGTAACAAGAAACCCATGACTTACAATTACAAACAGAATCGGATTAGTGTAAAAAAACTCACCCTTTAAGGGAGGCAATTGTGTTAACTCTTTGTTCTTCCCCACATTGAACCGCGTTGATGAGTGGTGCTTTTCTTTGCGGGACATCGCTGATCCAGCAAGAGAATTCATTTTGAGTAACTGAGTTGGTGGAGGGTGGGCTTCTGTATGGGGAGCACCATATATACGAAGCGCATGTTCACTGTTAGAATCTGAAGAGGAAACCCCGGAGTCGTTTGCAGGTGCATTCTGCGAAGTACACTGTACATACGCCGCAGATGGTGCCACAGGTTCCCTAGACGCCATTTGTGAGAAATAGATGTCCAGTTAACAGTACAAATCCAATATTTTTCACAATAAATTCCCTTGAGGGAGCTAGTATACGGAATACAACCTGATTCGCTCTGCCGGTGAAAGATAACGGCAGTCAACCTTGAGACTAAGCTAATTCATATTACCCGCGTCCATGAATTATGCATTAAACATAAGGTAGTTCCTTTTCTTATCTCTAAATTTAGGTATAAAGGCAAAAATGCTTTTATTAATAATTTTTTGCTCTTAGTGGCCTGTTTACTGGATTGCTGTTGTACATGTCTTCTCTACGAATTGATGGATACCATAGTATAAAAAGGCTCAGTTGATGACTGACATAGTTATGCTGGAGGCTTAATCTTGTCCAGCTGCTTGTCCATTGTGCATACTGCTTTGTCCTTCAGTTATTTAGCAAAACGCACTTGTGCTTCCATATTCTATTGTACGTTGAGGCATGCCTACTACTTTGCTAAAACCCGACCTCGAACGCACGGGGATTTTTAAGGAGATGTCATATCATACCATTCGTGACCCGTATGTGGGCCCATTTGCTTCGCTTAGCAGTAACTTCAAAGGTAAGCAGATGACAGTCAGTCATGCTAAGTCGAAGAGTGCTCTCTCTGATGGCTATTTCACAGAATTCCGGCGGACGTTTACTGGGGATTCCAAGCTCGATCTTGCAACGGTATTTCGTATGCAACGCAAGGAGGCAAAAAAATTAATTCGAGGGAAGGATTGGATGCCGTCCTCTTCATCGAAACCCATTACTAGCAGCGGTAGTACGTGCGATACGTTCACGGGTCCCATTGCATTTTTCAAGCCTAACACCCGTCAAGTGGACATTTTCACTCACCAAAGAAACATTGTTACTTCGCCTGGCAAGAAGGGATCAGGCTCCTACGTGAATGTTACACTGAACCCGTATCCACTTCACATGGCTGACCCTTACGACCGTGCCGAAAAACTGCAACTTCGCGTAGCAACTGAACAACGTTCATTGGCAAAGGGCAGAAAACCATTTTACTCTCGATTGCGTGAGTCGGAATATTTTGACGGAAACCCATTTCGAGCTGTTAAGTTAGCCAAGAAAAGCCACTCAGCGCCTACAAAGCTTGTGAAGAAAGTGAGACCTCCATTTAAGCCATCCAACCCAGCTAAGAAAGATGGTGGCTGCAAAGCAGGCTGCTTTAATGCGTTCCCCACTTTTCAATCCTCACCGGCTAGCTCTCAGAAGGGCAAGTTGCCACATCAAACTGCACTTTACATTCCGCGCTGCTGTCTTCCTTACCCTATCTCATCTATAGTCGACATAAATGTAAGAAAGGTGGTTAATACTTCGAATTACAAGCGGGTGAAATCGGTTGTATACCCTCTTTGATAATGTACCTGTTTCAAAAATCACGAGTAGTTTTACTCTTACCGAATAATTAGGTTTATATATGTATTTGCATTGAAGGTTTTTTGGTGCAAAATGCCCTACAAAATTGAACGAAACCCGATTTAGATATATGTGCGTGCCACTTGTGTACTCTTTAGGGTAAGCACCATCCTCGGTGCCTCATCTCTGACGTCAATAAGTGGGTGTCTGGTCGCACGACCAACTAAGCAATGGGCGGTGGCCAAAGGACTTGGCGCTTACACGTTAATGCGGACGCCATCGGTTCCAATCCGCCTAGGTCCGGGTGCCCCCGCGGTTTACTCAGTTCATGCGCGAGTTTTGGTGAATGCTTGGCAGCCAAGCGTCGATATGGTGTATTGGCGTACGGCTGAAGCCTTTTAGACAAGCTGCTTTGGATTAATGGTATCAAAATCCTTAGTTGTCTGTGTGTTTTAGACTTTTTTTGTTACTTTGGAATACCTTTTCGCAACTGAGACACAGACTACACAGTTGCCTTTTTCGGGGTTATCTGGGTTAGCCTGTTAACGATGAAGTCGGACTTCGTTGACAAACACCCCTAGAGCAACCTAGATGCCACAAGGGTTTGACTTTCGGTAGCGCGCCTGAAGCCAGTATCCAGTGGCTCTACTTTCAAATTGCGTACTGAATTACATAGCATACTATAAAACAAGTAGAGAGTTTACGGACAATGCAAGGACAAAGCGAGTGTATTACGGAAGACGGACGTAACAAGACAAATCGTGGCATAATCTTAGTAGTGATCTTTTGTGTGTCTATATTTCAAACTGTCAGGTGGATAAGTATAAGCTAAGCAATGCACTTCTCGATGGATTTACCTTGAAGTCATAGGAGTTGATCTGCTTTAAATCTTGCGCTGATAAGGTTGGTAGTAAGTAAGCCTCAGCTAAACCGCACGCAAAACCTCGTTAGGATGGGTCCATTGATCTCAGCGTCAATGTGCAAAGTTGTCTCAGTATAAGAAGTAGTTTCCGCTAAGTTCTATTTCCATATTTTACTGCTCATTGAGCGAAGCTAATATTCATTAGGCCACTCGATTTGGCTCCTTCTGCAACCAAGCTGGTTAATGGACGGTTTGTCCTTACTAAATTTCCTCCAGTATTTCGTGTATATTATGCATGGGTGGTGATAAGCTTACTTCTGAATTCAAGCTACTACCAAAACTAACACTTTCTCTGTAAACATGATTCGATAGCATTCTGGAGATATCTACATTTAGTCTGAGCTCGTTTGGCAGAATTAGTCTACAGCTGGGCTGGGGTATTTTTGGGACGATGACCAGTAAGAAATACTTTGGAAGCCAGGAATACAAAGGTGAAAAGTAGCCGGACCCAACATAAATTTTACGGGGCAACAGGGAACTTAGAGTAGAGCAGCAAGAGCACAATAGGTTGTGGCGACCTAGCGCGTGAATCACTGGAAGCCCAAACGTAAACGAGTTGTGTAGTCAGTAAAATAACTGCTCAGTCGGAAGGCATAAAAACGAGTACGGTCCACCGTCGCAAAATGCGGAACATAAAAATGTTCCTCTTTCACTACGGTGTTCCCCTATAGAAGGTTGAGTGAGGGAAACCTTCGAGAAAACACGCAAGCGGGGTGGGAAATGACAATGACAGAATAGGGAAGCAAATGGAGTTGGCGCAGACATCTCCAAACGTGGAATCTTGCAGTGCTATGTGTCCGGGATTGCTGGTTACTTTTTTATTTAGGAATATTGGGGTCTAAGAAAGGGTACCATCAGTAGCCCGAAGTCATGGTTTCATCGGTCAGCTAAAAGCTTGCAGGCCCACCAAAAAAGCTAACAAGACAACTACCTTTTGATGGCACGGCAGTGGGCTTGGCGTGTGTGTGCACTTCCTCCGTCCTCATCCCAGTACGCGGACAAAATGCTCCTCTTCCGGTAGAGATATCCATGTGTCGTCGGCGTAAAAGAAAGTAAACAAGAGTTCTCGGGCCAGACTAGCTATTGTCATCAAGTGTAAAAGAGGTAATGACAGTTACTTGGTGCCATGTTAATGGGACTTGAGAGTGAGTGAGTGGACCAAAAGAGGCCGCGGATTTTCTTGGGGTTAGGTGCTACGATGTAAAACTCGAGGAGGGTCGAGGCGGACGGTATGACGCCGTATGGAAAACGAGACAAAGAAACCAGACAAAGCAAAAGAAGTACACTTTTTGGGCTTTAAAAATGGTGTGATGTTTGTCGTGTTGCAAAAGGTTTGTGAATAAAGTCGTGCTTACGGTAAAAGTCAAAAATATGCCTCCTAGGGAAAATTTAAAAGACAACAAAATCTTAAAGGCAAGCTAGACGTTTGACCTGTCTACCGCGTCCATCGTTTGCCCTGGGCTGAAGCTGGCTAGACACGAAGCAGGGGGAAGAGGAAAGTCTGAAATGCTTGGAAGTGAAGCTGCAGCTGAGTGTTCCTGAGCGTTTGTGTTGGTTCAGGTTGGAGGCGGGTCTTGAAGAAGGCATGGTTACTGGCAGATCCCGTTGGACCAAGGCAGAATGTGTTGCAGTTCGTTTAAGATCTCTGGTAAGGTCGGTGTAGGGAAGGTGAAGAGGGATACGAACTGCGTAAGTACAAACGGGAATGTAAACACAGGAAGAGATTTCACGGTGCATTGGCTTGTCTCTGTTAAGTTCACAATGGAACGATGTGGTATTACGGGCAAAAGCAATTTCGGAATTTCTAGGTACACCAGTTTCTCTTAAGATGCTCAGAATGAATAAATGGTTGAAAAGCATAATGATAAAAGGAGAAGCGTTTTGGTAAACTCGCCATGGTGTTCAAACAAAAGCATGCATCAAAGAGCCAATCTTGTTTGCGCGGTTTAAAGCTGGTTGTGTACCGTTTGTCATACTATATCGTCTCTCGGTATATACTGGTAATATCTCGTAATCTTGGTGGGTTGATGCAACATCAAGCTTTTTATAGACACAGATAAAGTTGGGACATAAACAACGTAATTTTGGATTGCGTTCCATGGCTAACACACATGAAAGGAGTAAAACCCTCGGCGACCTTCTAGCCGACTTTATCGTGTTGCCAACTTGAACTGGGAGCCCTTCAAATTATCGTTGTGTCAGAGTTGCAACATGTTGCGGAGATGTGTTTGAGGTTCCTCTGAACCTGGCAGGCCATTATTACGTCGCCAGGAGTAGGTGTCGCGCACTCGATGCACGTACGTCGTGAAGGGATAGATGTGAAGTTGAACGTCAGTATATGCCATGGCGAGAGTAACGGAATGAGCTCTCCTGTCAGCTTAAGCGTTGTCCCGTGGACCAACTCTGGTGGTGCGCACCGCAGGTCGGCGTTGCTGATTCTGTGAGCTCATAGTTGAAGCGAGGAAATATTTTCACTTCAATCTGAGTCAGAAGTAGCACTGAAAGAATAATTAAGCTGTCTACATAGACGCTCGATTAGGTCGTTGGCTATATGATTGTAAGCCATTTGTAATTACAACAGCAGTCTCGGAGGTTGGCGAATCGCGAAGATTCTAAAGACATTCCACGGACGGAAAAAGTGAATTTTAAGCTCTCAGGCACAGTTCTGGAAAAAAGCAATCCGTATTGTAAATACACCAGAATTCCCGCATTTCCTGTATTGGCTCTGACGAATGTTTACCATGTAAAAGCTCCCCTTGAAGAACTTCTCTGTAGGGGGTTTTCACTGGCGATGTGCCTCGACTCAGAACAGCCTTACAATTGTAGTGTATCTACCACGTAGCTACGGTGAAACGATCGCATTCTCTCAGTGCCAAAGACGTATATGAGAGGATATAGTAAAATGGTGGCCCAACGTAGTGTATGACGAAAAACAAGGAAACAAACAAGATCACTTGGTGGTCTGAGTGTTCGCTGAGCTGGGCAGTTTAAGTGCAAACGTTTCGTCACCATCCGAGGTGATAGTGTCAGTGCGCGTTTATTTAGCAGAGCGGCGAGGTACGAAGCGTCAGTGAGTGTGAGTAATCGACCTTTTAGCCGCTACTCTGAGTTTGGATTGTTCGGTGGGCACATGATCATCGAACTCGATCTCTGATTCTCGCCTCATAGGGCACGCGCGCATGCCTCTTCGGTTGTCGTCGTTTGACGCAGTTGTCTGGCATTCTGTTCCGTTAGGTTTATTCTACTAGTTCGATGATCCTTCATCCGTAGCGCTGTATATATGGCATCTATTTCAAAGCGTCGGTTTATTGAATTGCGTGTAGAATACCATGCTTCCATGAACTCTCTAGCTTGCCTCAAATTTCCACGCGCTAGGATCTTAAGGTTCTCTAGGTCGAAGTGGTGGCTTTCTTGGTCTTCATGCATGGAAACCAGTGAACGCGGGTCGTGTCTTCGTATGGCCATTATGTGTTCGTTGATCCGTGTTGAAAGTTGCTTTCCATTTTCCCCTCTGTAGTGTTGTCACACTCTTTGTAGTTAATCTTGTAGATGACATCATTCTGACTGCCTTGTTTGACTTCGACCTTTGGTCTTGAAAGAAATCTTCGCAAAGTACAACTCGGTGTATGAGCTATCAAGATTCTAGGTGCTCGTAGCGATATTGACGTTAGTTCAGACACATACTTGATGTAAGGAAGCGCTAACCGTTTATCTATGTTCTCCCGCTGTTGTTGCTGCACCCTCTTCTTTAGGCTTCTTCTGCTGAAGTTGCTTGGATACCCGTTGTTTTGCAATACCTTGTATCGATGGTCCTCTTCCTTTTTCCTCAATTCTGTCGTGCTACCGTGTGTTTCGACCCAATTGAAAAGGCTTTAATTGCAGCTTTTCTTGTGCTGCAGTGGCTGGTTGCTGTGGTAGTTTAATATTTGGTCTTTGTGGGTCTTCTTTCGATGTATACATGTTTGAATTGTTTCGTCAGTGTTTCTTTGGACCAGTACATCTAAGAATGGTAACTGGTTGTCTTTCTCGAGTCCAAGTAGAAAGTTGATATCCTGGAATGTGTTGTCGATTAACTCATGGGTACTCTGTATGGAATCTCGTCTGATGATGACAAACATGTCGTCCACGTACCGCATCCATGATTTTGGTTTATTTAACGGTATTGTGATACTCTC